TTGTGGCAGCAGGTCTGTTCCTTTTGCAAACTGGATTAAAGTCCTCTTCAAACCAGTAAAAAAAATATTCTTACAGCTTTTTCTTGCTAGGAAATCTACTTTGTATATAAGCTTTTGTTAGTTTGAAATTTAATAATGGAAACCATGTCGATTTCAAAAAATACTGCCCAATGTTCTCCTGTTTGTTCTTATCTTATCTCAGGATCCCTTCAGAGCAAACAACTTCATGTTTTTGACAGAGCCATCAGAGGTAGATATATGGTATACTTCTACTGAATCATACTGAAAACAACCTTGTGCAACTGGCCGTGAAAACAACTGTTGTGGCATACCTACTCATGTGATGGCTCCATTATAATCCATGCAGTAGCAGCCATTCGAAATGGCCTTTCCAATTCAAAAGCCAGGCGAATGGCAGCCAAATGGCAGCAAAATCCCCTCCAACTTCCAGCCACTGGCCTTCTCCTGGGCATGCATATTTTTTTTACTCTGATTCCCCCTTTTAGTGAATTACAGTCTGACCAGGAGATGCTTCTCTTTAGATCTTTATGTTTACAAATCGTGACAGAAAGAATAGTTTAGATGTTTAAAAAGGAATTGTAAAGGACTAGCCAAGGACCAGCCAAGGGCCAATCAAGGAAAGTGGTGAAATTATGAATGGCTACTACTATATAAAATACTGTTCTTTAGGTTACTGAATATGAAAGTAAAACTACTAAATAGAAGCCCATTTCATTAAACACCATGCTGATCCAACTTCTGACACTCTGAGCTCCTCAATATGAGCTGAACCAATGGGATTTCAGCCACATCCTGCACTGCAGTCTATTTTCATCTACAGCTTGAAACCATGTATTTTAGTTTATACATATTATTTTGTTAATTGATTCTTGGCTTTTCACTGAGAGTCTAAGCCATTTTCACCTTTCACAAGGGCATCCCCAGTGAGACAGAGGGCTGCTGCTGCTGCTTGATGTTTGTCTGTGTCATGTGCTTACTGCGCTCCACCGCCTGTTCTCAGTGTGGGAAAGAGAAAACGGGCATTAGATCTGACACCATTTAAAGCTCAGCTTGAAGGGTTTTCAGAAAAGGAAACTACTAAATGTTTTGTCTTCATATGATTAACTGATGCTGCCCTGAACATATTGGAGGCCAAATTTTTAATGAGGAACATCAAAACATGCCAACATAAGTTATGCTTTGCAAACTGCTTTGCATGAAAATAACAGAACAGAATGTAAGTTTAATAAAGAGTGAATGTGTCAACTTGGATAAATGCTAAGAAACAAAGGATGAACCTCTCAATGCTTAGGTGCTGTTGTCAAAACAATTAAGCGTCTTCCCTGAGAATGGAGGATCACATATCTCCTTGTGTCAAGTGAAACAACACTGCAGCATCCACAAGAATGCAGGTGCATGAGCTTTAACTCTAATACAAAGGTGTTTTATTTGATCTAAACTTAAAATTGCCACGTTTTCAAGCACATCCACAACATTGATTTCATTAGTACCAGACTGGGTGTTCTTAAATAACTTGGATTAAAAACTAAAGATTGATGAGAAAATAGGTAAATGAATAAAGCAGTTTTCAGATACTGATTTTAATTATTGAAGGAACTAATTGAAGTAAAGTCCCTGCTAAACTGGTTCTGTCAACCATGATGGCAAAAACTGCCATCAAGCTTTTGGGATAACAAGTAAAGTTTAAAAAGGCTGTGGGGGCATAATGCTAAGTTTTAATTCACTGGCATTGGATGATTTTTGGCATTTAACAGCAGCTTAATAGTAGTTTAGTTTTATGGTGTTCTTGTCCTGCTGAATAAACCCGAGCATACACTGCGCCACATTTTCAATCGTTGCACGCAGCTACAGCTGAAACCTTATGATGAAAATGCAGGGTTTTTAAAGTTCACAGCTCATGATGCATGTTCTCATTCTGTGCGAGCCGACGCTCTGATGTGATCTACCTGCTTACACTGCCCGACCAAAACCCACACATCGGACTCAGCACAGAGCGATGCCACTTGTTGGACTCGTCGGTCTGGAAGAAGTAGCAGAAGAACTCCCTTGTTTGCACATGCGCAGTGCATGAGGTTCTGGTAAATCGGCAAAATTTGGTACATCTCTTCCGACCTTAAGATTCCTGATCTGGAGGTGGTTGTGAGAGGCTTATCGCCCCTGGTTACCCCCTGTGCAATACACGATGCATGGTCAGGCTGAACGATAGCACGATCAAAAAAAAATCTTGCACAACTGGAGAATCAGCCCAAAAAGGGCACAAAAAAAAAATCGTACAATGTACATTATGCATGGCTTAACCTAGCTTAAGGTCAAAGGCTGGAAATCCTGCTTTGAGATTATTTTGCAGAAAGCACAATTCATCTCTCCATTATTTGCTGTGATACATCTAGGAACTAAAAAGGTAAAATACTTTCCAACACCAGTATATTTGACTGTTGATGTGATGTTATTGTTTTACCTGCCATATAGGGCTGGGCAATTAATTGCATTTGCTATATAATAGCAATTTAACAGAATGCCATTTTGAAATCGCAGAGGCACAGATTTTTAATCACACTGTATTTAAAAAGAGTAAATCCTCCAGCCCTTTAAATGGTGGTAAAATGCTTGAAGTGGGTTTGTCGCCACACTGAGAGATAGAGAAACTTGCAGCTAGCATGCAGATCCATGTATGCAAGTAGAGGTAACACTTTTTCACACAATAGTTAAGGTAAAGCCCATTAACAATGGACTCCAGGCAAGCAAGTTATCAACAGCTTCAGGTTAATGCAAAAGAAAATTAAAATAAAACTGCAATCGTGATCTTTCAGCCCTAATGCTATGTTGGTTTCATGCCCAGTGTTGGTTGCACACCTTCCAAGTTTTACTTAAACATTTTTCAGTCTCTCTGTTTTTAGTTGTATCACAATTAGAATAAGGCAGATATGAGGGAATTAAGGGCTTTAAGAGCTAAAGGTTTGATGTTTTCTTCACTTCATAAAGAGTCCTTGATGATTTCTAGGGAAGATCACCACAGTTCTATGTTTTCTCTTTTCATGGACAATGGCACTCAGTGGTCATTCCAAGGAAGTTAGAGATAACATTGCAATCATTTTCATCTAATCTATGAATTGTTTTTAGTCATCGGTTCCTGATTTTCCTTAAATCGGACCATGATGTTGTTGCTTCCTGGGATTTTATACTGCTTTTCTACTTGACTCTATATGGCAGTTCAGACAGTGGTCAGACATGAGTGTAACTTGGCAAGGCTGGTGAAACTGAACTCAGGCTTCTAAACAAGGTTAATCACAGATTGACAGTTAACAAGAATCTAAATTATGTTCAGATAAAGGACCAAGTTGGTTTAGATGACTTTATGCAGGTAATAAGACAGCATTTGCAAGCTGCTTTTATCTTATATATTTATGTCACTGTTGTCTAATATTAATTTTAGCTAATGATCTGAAGAAAAAGCTAACGCAGAAAAACAATCTGTAAGGAAAATGACTTTGAAACATAACTCTGCTCCTATAGAAGCATAAATAAAGTTTACAAATAATGTTAGTATTGGTACATTAAAGACGTTATGATAATTTGCTTAAGTTACACAAACCACTTCATTAACTGAGGCAGTAATTTTATCAATCCATCCATCCATCTGCTCCTACTAAGTCCTTGTCGCAGTGTACAGGTAAGGCGGGGTACACCCTGGACAGGTTGCCAGCCTGTCACAGGGCAACACAGAGACACATAACCATGCACACACACAGACACACACACACTCACCCCTAAAGAACATTTTTAGAAAAGCCAATTAACCTAGCAGTCATGTAGTTGGACACAGGGAGGAAGCTGGAGTACCCGGAGAGAACCCATGCATGCACGGGGAGAACATGCTAAATGTGCAGAAAGGAATCGAACCCAGAACCGTCGAGCTACAAGCCAGCAGTGCTACCAACTGTACCAACGTGCAGCCCAGTAACATGTTACTTTAAGTAGAATTGACTTCTATAGAACCACAACCTTTCTCCATTTTAAGTAGTGAAGGCTCCAGCTGAATAGCAGCATTATTCTCTACAGACCTTTGAGTATGCGCTGCGTTCAACAGACCCATCTATCATATAGCAGTGTGAAGAATATGTCTCAATGACATATGTTTTCTTTTTCTTCCACTGTATTACATGTACAGTTTGTGTGACGGACCAGTAATGCAAACACATTTCAGTTTAGAGGCAAACTGTGCTGATGCTCCAGAAAGATAATCCCATTAGAGGAACAGTTGAAGTTTCAGGTAGAAGAACCAGACCTGACTCTGTTTTCTCTCATCCCATGGTACATTAGGTGTGATGAAACCAAACCAAGGCAACATCCGTCTTACCTAGTTTGGGAAAATAAAACATCTCTCTCTATCATTCTGTCTATTCCTACAGTGCATCTCTTTGCAAAGTGACATGACAGACTGGCATCGCTGTTGTGTTTGCATATCTTCCAACTGCGAACAATCTGGCCTGAAAAGCAGGTAGTCTGAAATCTGACAAAGGGGTAATTTTCCCCAAGGCATGCACGAGGGAAAGTGGCAGTTTGCATGTTTTCTTTGCACCTGTAAATGTTCCCCACCACATGCAGACGTTTATAGAGCTCTTAGGTCTGCCAGGGCCCACAGCTGGGCACGATAATGAGGGAGAGCATGCCACACAGGACAGTAGGGAGCAGCTTGTTAGCATAGTCCTCTGCCAGAGAAGGTGCAGCGGAGTTTCTGTTGCACTTTAATTGGAGGATCCAGTCAGCTTGTTTGTCACTACAGGACAGAATGTCATCAACTTTCAGGCTGTGCAGCAAACAACACACTGCCATCCACAAATTAACATTGGGGGCATGAACGACTTTGCCAAATTGAATAATGTCTGACATTCACCCATCAACTGGGAGGAAGTTTTTTCGTCTTCTCCCTCTAAGAACTGTCCTCATAATTAAAGTATAGGAAAAATATTCAAACTATTTTACCTGTCTTTCATATTGCATGTGTCAAACCGCAGCTCATTATAATTTCCCAGCAATCCTTGCTGCACATGAGTGAGATTCACCAGGTGATTGTTGATGGATATGAGCTGCATGCACCCCTGGAAGGCAGGAGCTTGGATGTGACACTCTGTGGGCGGACAGCCTTGATGGAAGAAACACAAGTAGAAACCTTTAGTTTTACTGTTCACAGAAAACTGAAAGTGACAATGTGGGAATAAAAAAAGAAAAAAAAAAAGACAAAGCGGGAGACAAACTAACCTCCGAAGTAGAAGCTGCCTCTTGATTCCACTGTTTCCCAAAGTTCAACCTTGGATGAAGGCTCGCCATCCACACTCAGAGTGATCTGCAGGTTCCTGCTGGTAAGACTCACAGTGTGCCATAATCCATCGTTGACTCTGCGACCTGGACAAACAGTTTCAGGAGATTTTGAAAGAATTCAGTTGAGGTCAAAATACTTAGTTTTTTCTCTTTGAATCATACAATACATATAATAAAAACTCCTTCCATTCACATGTTTTTATTTTTATTTTTTTTATTATTTAACCATACCTACAGTACATGTTGATAAACTAAACAAAAGCAGAAGCAGTTTTTTTAGATAATATATTTCTAAGAAATAATTCTTTTTTGCCTTATTTGAAAAAAATGCCCTCCAAACCTAATATCTGGTTGCCAAGAGCAACAACTGCCATCAGGTGTTTGTGATCATTAACAATGAGTCTTTTATATTACTGTTAGGAAACCTTGTTCTGCTATTTTTTGAGTAATTATATTAATTAGGCCACATAAAAAAGGCTCCCCAACATTAATGTCCCATTAGGGTTGTGCCATGGAGTCTCAGCTGGAGTTCAGTCAAAACTTATCCAAAAATGTTGCCCTTTGTTTTTTTTACAGTCACACATAGTACAATGATGGCCAGACATTCTCATTATGGAGTTAACATTATATAGTTATGATTTAATGATTACGGCATGATATCCAATTTAGAGGCAAAGATGATCACATAATCACCAACATGCTTAGCTGTATGTAGAAAGTTCCATTTCTAAAATACTTTGTTAGTTTTACATGCAACAGGTTGACTAACTACCAAAAACGCCCTGTGTTGTTTAATGAGTCAATGTAATAGTTTCTCCACATGCTTCACTGTCATCAACAGGCGGGCTTATGTGTTGCTTTTGATCAGTAGGGGTTTTTGCTTTATGCAGGGCTGACACTGACCACAGTGCAGCTGCAGTTTTGGTCCAGTGGGGGCAGAAACTGTGCCTGTGAGAAAGGATCTTCATGTAGCCTTACTCTGTTATGGGAGCTCTAAAGCTAAACTCAATATCCGTGCGCAAACATATAGTTTTCATCCTCCAATAACTCAGCTGTTTCCTCATATTTTTTGTTTTGCCATTGTATTTTCCATTAGTCAAGCTAATGTAAGTGGGTTGTTTTATCCTGAAATTCACCCTGCCTCTTTCCTGTCTTCCAGTTGAGTTGTTGAGGCTCTCTTGGAAAAATGTCTGTCCATCTACTCCTGTAAGGCAGTGATTCCCAACTGGGGGTACGCAAGTTCATTACAAGGGGTACAGGAAAATATTTTTTTTTTCTTAGGTAGTAAAATAAAATAGCTCTGTGATCTGTTTTGCGTTGTGATGAACCAATTGAAAAATTAAATACGCTTTTATCAACCAAAAATAAGGTTTTTCTTTGAGTTCACCTACAGCTTTGGCACACATCCAAACCAAGCAGAGGAACAGACTGGATGTAAAGAACAGCCTGGGATCAACTGTTTTTCACACTGGGCAATCAGAGCTCATCAAAGCTAGTTCAGGTGTCTTGATTAAAAAAACAAAGTTAAACTAATTCAGTCTGAGTATAATTTTTTTTCTGTATTTTGATCCCAATTCATCCTATTTATATTTGATTATAAAAAGTTGCTCAGAGAGCACCAGTTTTATAAATACAGGGTTATAATATGACTTTAATTTGTATTAATTTCAATTCTTTAGTAACTTCCAGGAAACATAATTATGTTGTTTTTTACAGTAGTTTGAGATAGAAGGAAAAATGCCTAAGAATTAAATGCTCAAATTAAAAGTTTAAGTGAAAGTATTTTACATTCCACTTTTGGACAATCATCAATACTTTGACTGACTCATGGTGAGACAAAATGCCCACAGGTGTACTCAAGTAAAAAAAGGTTAGGAAACTGTGCTGTAAGGCATCGCCACTGTTCAGTCTATTTCTATTTCTTCTTCTATCTTATAGCACTTGCTATGGTTCACTTGAGTATAAAGTCTTGGAAATAGCTTTTTAAGCTTGCGGATTTGAGTAGACTTGTTTCTAATGTCTTACTTTAGATTAGTCATCCATTAAAAATTGTATAGGATTCATTCCTAAAGTGTACATACACCAATAATGACGTGATTATTTGACAGACTGAAGCAGAGACAAATCTAATTTAAGATTCCATGCCAGCTCTAGGGAGTCTAATCGGCTAAAAAACCACCCATCATTATGGGCCAGGAAATCTAAAGAAACATGTTCCCTCAAATGTTGTCACTTGGAAGGTCCTCTGGCAGTGACAAAGCATCCATCAAGCAGTGTTATGCACAAGTGTCACACAGCATTTTTCAATGTTTACAGCAATTGGTGTGATTGTCACACACCTTGACAGATTCCATGTATTAATCTATGATACACATCACTCTAATGATCATTGGGGAGAGCAATGTGACAGTGAAACTTTTGAATATTCTGCAGACCTTGATTTAGTGTTTAAGTTGGAGACAAGTCTTTTTAGTTTAACTGACAGGTCTTTATGCATGCACATGGCTCACCACTGCAAGCATATAGACCACTGCGGTTTTTAATAAATATGATGAAGTTGATCTCTTATTATAGTTTAATATGGAAAATTTAATTGACTGTCTCAGAGGAATTTTGATGCAGTATAGCTTCAACCCTTCATCTCCCCACGTGTTGCCAGTTTTCCCTGTCTCCAAAAGGGACATATGCATTTATCAGAGTTGCCATAAGAAATGTACATTTCATTTATTTATTTTTTGTCAGATCACAACCTTTGCATGGGTGTATTGTATGCAAGTTGCAGGTTCAGTTTGTCTGTAAGCAACCTTTATAGATAAGACCGCAGATCATAAAGTACTGATTGTTAAGATCTATAAGCCTACTTTATGTGTTTAGACAGCTTCTTTTTAAAGATTTCATGATCTCGTCAATTTGCATTTCACACAGTGATCAGGCTTGGGTGTAATTAGTGAAATTTAACTGCAGTACTTGGTTCATTACAGTTAATTTGGGCCTTTAACAAGAAGGATAATGGCTTTATATTTCAACATGCACTGGTCGATTTGGATATCTTTTTTATTAAAGAGCTGAATTTTGAATTTACCCAGCTTTTACAGTACCTATCTGAATGGTTTGATCATAATCATTTAAATCTAACAAAAAATGCAAAAACTGGAGAAATGTGAAAGCTACCATATTTATCATCTTGCCTTAAGTTGGTTAAGTAACCCTGTTACAAACCAACATTTTCTAAACATCAGTTATCATGTGATATCTTGATGAACCTGTCTGTATGCAGTCTTACAAACTATGTTGTTCGCCAGCCGTTTTTACACATTTTGTTAAAGAAAAGACAAAGCTTGATTTTTTTTAAAAAGATTTAAGTTTAAAGCAGTCATTTGTTGTTCTTGCCCTTTTTTTCCTCAATCCTTTTTGCCACAATTTTCTCAGAAATGTTGTGTACTCCCATGGCTTTGTGCTTTGATACATTCAGTGCCTCCAGCACTGCAGCAGAACATTCCCACAGCATTCCCTACCTTCACTGTTGGTAACTTTAGGCTTGCTGTTCCTTTCTTTATAGGGCTCAATTTTTCACCAATAAGCAAACAGTAGAACAGCAGGAGTTAAATTGAGCTGAGGCTATGCCGGCACATCCAGACGTTGTTATCAAAATACTTTCTACATCCTCTAATACCTTATTTTTACACTCTCCTCTGACTTGAATGCATGAAAGATATCTTTGTTTCTACTTGTGAAAACCAGCCTCTGCAAGTCGCTATATTGGTTCACTGTGTCCTCGGGACTTAAGGCATGAGGCAGGTAACTGCCGTCACACTAAGCCGAGGAGTAAATGACAAAAATAAGACAGAAACACTGTCACAGAAGTTACATTTTAAACACATCTACACCTCTGCACAACACGCAAATTATAATAAGCCTGCAGGCAGAACGTGATGTAAATAAACAAGTTCTGATAGAAAGGGTAGAAGTGGATAGAAAAGGGAGATGGAGGAACAGGGAGGTAAAAAATATTGAGCTACCTCTGTGCATCAAAGGTGTTTAAGAACAGAAACATCATCTCCTTTCATTCTCAAAATAACATAAATACAGATCGTATTCGGCACATAAGTACTTGACTTTAATTATAGGGAAAGATGAAATTGTAATTTATCCTCACTTCCAGTTTACCTATGAACTAGCTGAAAAATGTTTCTGTAGGTTGATTATTTAATTACATAAAACAAACTATTCTTAAATTAAACTCAAATAAATTATTCCAGCAATGCCTGAACTTGTGTAAATATGCTTTTACTGCACAGTCTGCCTGTTTTGGCTGCTGTGATTCTTACGGTGAAGAGATGAAGTGAAAAGCAGGCATAACATATGGACAAAGAAATGAAGCTGGAAGTATTTGTGAAGTTTGTGAACCACCAAAATGCTAATCTACTAGTCCAAAGTAAGCAAAATAAATAATATTGTTGTATTAAGTGTTGTACTTAAACTCGAGTAAAAATAGACATCTAGAAGTTGCTGCTTTGCCCTCCACATGTCCAAATGTCCATAAACTTTGATCCTAATATTTCATATGAGGGGGTCACTAATGAAAGTAATCTAAAACAATTCATTTTGAATACAAAAACAAAACATCAGAAGGATGATGAAGATGAAGTCAAAGGAAGATCTAAAAAGGTCAAAGGGATTTGAAACTCAAACATTCTGCTGTGACATGAAGCATAAATCCGTTCCTATTCTAGCCTTTTGATTTTCTAACTGGTGTTGCATTTTGTAGAATTGGAATGTTCATAGCAACAACCAACAACACACAAAGAAGTGCACTTCTAGAGTCCATTGTTACCACTTTTTCTTGGCACCCAACTGTATCTCACCACAGTCATGCGTCATCTTGTTCTATTTAAAATTGGTCTTTTTGGTCTGACTATTCTATGTGCCTCCATCCCCTAAACTCCTCCTACACAACTCCTGATTAAATACTGATGAAAAGCACACCTACAGATCTGAATTTCGTCTGTGTCCATGAAACCTCACACCTCAAAATATGGAGGTTATCTCAGAGAGTTTTTATCTTTTCTGCTTCTCTTTGAATC